ATAATAAGGATCTGGAACTGTCGATAAGCGCAACTTCAACTAGCATCAATCCACAGATTCTTCTTGGATGCGCGGACATGTTCACACTTCTAAGCAATGGGCTAGCACCGCTGTACGTACTTCCTTCTGGGTTGCAGTTGATCCCTTCGAGATTGGGATATCTGGTTGCAGGACGCAACCACAGCTTCACAGAAACAAACAAGGAACGAGCGACGGTAAATTCTGCAACAGTCACAGACAAAGACGATTCGCAATCGTGGGAAGACTTTTGTACATTCGAATCGACAGGGGTGGATGAGTTTGTCGGGCCGAAGGCCGAGGAACGCCAACGGACAGATGAGGCCGTCTGGAAGACGTTTGAGCAGACGATCGAAAGAAAAGAAGATGGTTACTGGGTACGGCTCCCCTGGAGGAAAGACGTCGAGCAGTTACCGGACAATAAGGGACTAGCCATACGTCGCCTGCAAACACTGGTAAATAGGCTGACTGCTGAGCCTGATGTACTCCAGAAGTACCAGGAAACCTTGCAAAATCAGCTCAATGAAGGAATTATAGAAGAAGTGGACGAAACCAAAGCACCGGATGGAGAAGTCGTACATTACCTTCCTCATCGTGCAGTCATTACTCCGCAGAAGAGAACAACTAAATTGAGAATCGTATTCGATGCTTCCGCACATCTGAAGGACGCTCCGTCGCTCAACGACGTACTCCATAGGGGACCTGTTTTGCTTCCCAAACTCTGTGATATCCTTCTCCGCTTCCGAATAGGCGATGTCGCGGTTGCCAGTGACGTCGAGAAGGCTTTCCTTCAAGTAAGACTCCATATGCAGGACAGAGACGCCACTCGATTTCTCTGGGTGAAGGATACAAGCCAGCCTCTTTGTCAAAGCAACGTCATCACCTATCGCTTCAGCCGCGTAACGTTCGGACTCATTTGCTCCCCATTCCTGCTAGCGGCTACGATCAAATATCATCTGCAGCACAACGCGAGGAACACAGAGGTCGCTCGGGAAATTGACAACAACACTTATGTGGACAATGTGGTGATGACCGCAAAATCGAGCACAGAAGCGGCTACTCTCTACAGAGAATCCAAGGAAGTTTTTCGTGACATGAAAATGAATCTCAGGGAATTCATTTCGAACGATGTCAACCTCAAGCAACAAATTGCTCCAAAGGACTTGAGCGACATGTCGAGCCAGAAAATTTTGGGCATACTGTGGGATTCATCAGAGGACTCGCTAAACCTGAAATGCGCATACCCGCCCAGAAAGAAGATCACTAAGAGGATCGTATCCGAAGCAAGTGGCTTCGATCTACGATCCGCTGGGCTGGCTGACACCGATAACTCTCCATGGAAAACGATTCCTACAACAGCTTTGGAGATGCGAATATAGCTGGGACGAGCCTCTGGAGCAGAAGCATCAAAAACAGTGGAAAGAGATCATTCACGCAGTCGACGGATTCCACTATAAGATACAGAGAAGGGTTACCCAGCTCTATGAGCGCGTGAAACTTGTCGTACTCTCAGACGCAAGTAAAAATGGAATGGCAGCATGCGCCTACATCGCATCGGACTCCGAGTCTCACCTCGTGGCTGGAAAATCCAAGCTACCTTCGATGAAGGAGAATCCAACAATGCCGAAGCTAGAGCTAAATGCGTTGACGATGGCAGTACGACTGGCGTATAATTTACATGATGCAATGAAAGAACGACTGGCAATACACAATGTGATAATTCTCTCCGACTCTGAGATCGCCCTCAGTTGGATCGCTTCAAATTCAGTCAACCACTCCGTTGGAGTGCTAGTGAGAAATCGTGTCCGTGAGATAAGAAGAATTGTCAGTGCAATTCATTCGCCAGTCTGGTTTGGTTACGTCAATACTGCAGCAAACCCGGCCGACTGTGCGACGAGAGGAGTGACGAGAAAAGAGTTCGAAGGCCACATGTGGTGGAAGGGACCACCGTACATTTCACAACCGATTGAGGATTGGCCTGGAGATAGTAGATTGTTCCCATTGCCGATGGACTGCCAGGACGAAGTTCCTTGCATGCTACACGTAGCAACATGCGGTACCATTGTGAATTACTTGACTGGAAACGGCACAGCAACCTCCCACGGTGTCAGCGAGTGGTAGCCTACGTCCTTCGCTTCATCAAGCAACTACTCAATCGAGTGAACGTCAGCCTTCGAAGGAAAGTCGAGAAGAGCGTACCCGAACTTCATTCTGTAACAATGTTTCCCTACATAACGACTACTGAAAGAGAGATGGCCCTACGGCTACTTGTCCGCAATCACCAAAGGGTACATCTGCCACCAGACAGACGAGTCGCTCTGAAACAGCTAAAACTGAAAGAGGATGATCAAGGAATTCTGCGATGTCACGGACGACTTGGAAACTCCAGACTTTCATTCGACGCCAAATATCCATGTATTATAGCCAGCAAAACCGATCTCGCTCGCCTCATCGTGCAGCACGCGCACTTACCTCTTCACTGTGGAACTGCACACACCATGGCGAACGTCAGAGAGAAAATTCTGGATTATGAAACTCAGACAGCTTGTCCGATCAGTCATTACCAGATGTGTGCCTTGCCAGAAAATGAACAACCTCCCATACAGATATCCGGAAATGGACGATCTTCCTGCTTGGCGAGTACAAAGGACCCGACCTTTTGAACACACCGGCGCCGACTATTTCGGACCCCTTATTGGTAAAAAAGAATGACGAGACCGTGAAAGTCTATGGGATAATCCTGACATGTGCAGTGACGCGACTAGTTCATCTTGAGCTAGTACCCGATATGAGCACGACTCATCTCCTACTTGCTCTGCGACGCTTTTGCGCTAGGCGAGGAGTACCTGCAAGTATTACGTCGGATAACGCCACAAACTTCTTACTCGGAGAGGAAATCCTCAGCAGCGCCATATTTCCTGTGATAAACGACATCTTGTTTGCGCAAGCAATGGCAGAGAAAGGAATCCTGAGTTCAAGCAACTGCGAGAACAAGTTTCTGCGATCAACCTCAAGCAGCTATCCGACGACATCAAGGGCCTCTGCGAACGCTTCGATGAATTGAACCTACGTCTACCCAGCGTCGATACATCGAGGACCATTGCGCCGGCGGAGCCCAGCTCAGAGCTGGACAGGATCTTACGTCAAATGGATGAAACAGAGAAGGAGCTTCATAGTGTCCGAAAGGAAACCTTTGAAATCAACCTTCTCATTGAAAAGACATGGCAGAAGGACCGCAGTACGGACGCCATCGACCACCTGAAAGTGAAGCGACGTCGCCTACAGTCGAAGGAATCGAGATTGGAAGAGGAAATGCGGGACCTGGAAATGCGATTGGAGCGCGAAAAGAACGGGAAACATCGCAACTCTGAGGAATCTCGCTCCAGGGGACACGATCGCACAAAGGAGGAACGAACGGAAAGGAATGCGAGCAGAGAAAGACGGCACGATCGACGACGAGAAGGGAAGCGTGAGTCGAGACAACGGCGGAACTCATCGACCTCGTGCGACCATGACAAGGAAAGGGACAACTCCCCGGCATAGTGCTAACAACTCCGTGGCCGGGAGTATAGAGGTTCCTCTATCAAATCGATATATCTTCAGGTATTCTTTGGTGGCGGTCCAATCGACATATCGGATTGGGTGGTCAACGTCGAGGCCACCCTGATCGCGCGGGAATCTGGCGCTATATAAGGAGCCCACACCAAGGAGCCCACCAGTTGCTTATTCTCGCCAGTTTCTGCCTCCATCTCACTCCTAACATCTCTCTCATTGATCTCACATTACTTGTTGATTGTTTGTTTGATTAATATTTGTATAAACGTTTAATTACCCAAGTTTGAGGTACCACTGGACCACCCACACATTATATGGTGCATCGCGGACAGCTCGAACTCGAGGACAACTGAAGCCAGGAATCGAGGACAATCAAGGATCCGATCCGAAGGACAATCAAGGATTCGATCTCAAGGACTGGCTTATCGATCTGGACTTGCGTGCAACTGACGATAGCGACTCGGAACTGCGATACGGCTCGACGACATAAAGTGGGTCCCAGAGCAACTTTACGGAAAAAAATCTTCAACTGCTTCAAAAAAAAAATCCTTCACTTTCTGTTCAGGCTGTACACACACACACGCACATCTGCACACAACGCGCGCTTCACAACACACAACCGCACACACATCGCACCACACTCCATTTCACACTACACACATGTCACACAGCAATTTTCACACCCACTCCCACACACACACACTGCACACACACTCACACACCGCACACACACACACACACACACACACACACACACACACCACACACACACACACACACACACACACACACACACACACACACACACACACACACACACACACACACACACACACACACACACACACACACACACACACACACACACACACACACACACACACACACACACACACACACACACACACACACACACACACACACACACACACACACACACACACACACACACACACACACACACACACACACACACACACACACACACACACACACACACACACACACACACACACACACACACACACCACACACAACACACACACACACACCACACACACACACACACACACACACGTTATAGATTCCGCCCGCCACCACCCGCACACAGCCAACGCCGGCACACACACGCCGGCACATCTACACGCCGCCACTACACGCGTTGTTAGTTGTCTGGGTTATGCCGCACACACACCCGCACACCCGCACACCCGCACACACCCGCACACACCCGCCACACACACACCCGCACACACACACCCGCACACACACACACACACACACACACACACACACACACACACACACACACACACACACACACACACCACACACACACACACACACACACACACACACACACACACACACACACACACACACACACACACACACACACACACACACACACACACACACACACACACACACACACACACACACACACACACACAACACACACACACACACACACACACACACACACACACACACACACACACACACACACACACACACACACACACACACACACACACACACACACACACACACACACACACACACACACACACACACACACACACACACACACACACACACACACACACACACACACACACACACACACACACACACACACACACACACACACACACACACACACACACACACACACACACACACACACACACACACACACACACACACACACACACACACACCACACACACACACACACACACACACACACACACACACACACACACACACACACACCACACACACACACACACACACACACACACACACACACACACACACACACACACACACACACACACCACACACACACACACACACACACCACACACACACAACCACACACACACACACCACACACACACACCACACACACACACCACACACACACACACACACACACACACACACACCACACACACACACCACACACACACACACACACACACACACACACACACACACACACACACACACACACACACACACACACACACACACACACACACACACACACACACACACACACACACACACACACACACACACACACACACCCACACACACACACACACACACACCACACACACACACGAACAAA